GGAAGTAAATTGTTTAATTAATTCATCTTTGCCTTTCAGTAGAAGTTTTATTGTTTTATTGAAATTGCTGTTAACAGTTTCTAAGGGATTCTTTCTAAGTTTAGAATAGGTTTCAGTATCATCTAAGAGATTATTAATTTTTTTCTTGGTAATCATTTTCTTTCATAATTACAATTGCATTTATTTTATCTGCTTTGGTAAGGCGCATACTTTTATTATTGTTAAGTGTATCATAAGACTTAAAGAATCTTTGAGGGCAATTGGGAATGTTTTGTTTTAACATAGAGCTATATACCATTCCTTTACTAATATTAATTTCATCAGTGGATAAATCAGAAGATTTTTCAAAGTTACAAAAGGCTTTTGCAATTTCAACATTATTAAGTTTTTTTGAAGTTGCAAAACTTAGACCAAAACCTAGAGCAGCCGTTGTATTTTTATCTAACACTTCATCTGATAAATTAATTACAAAATTGTTATTAGCATGCTTTGTCCAATCACTATTTTCAATTAAATTGTCTAATTTTCTTTGTAGTTTGTTTTTGAGTTCATTACAAATTCTTCTGAGTTTATTATAGCAATGATCTAACATACTAAGTTTCCATTCTGATGGAATGGCTTGATTAAAAGAGTATTTTTTGTTTCTCAATATTTTGAATGCTTCCTTCTCCTGTATTTTAGTTATTTCAATATGTTTCTGAAAAATAATTCTCATGAAATCATCAAAAGGACGATCTCTCATGTCAAGGAGTCTATTAGGTAAAAGAGATTTGGGCAGAACTTGTTCATTTAAACAATTTTTTAAAAAATTAAGTCGAATTTTTAACTTGTGGGACTTGATCAGTGCAGAAGAAAACTGTGAAACAAAAGAAACATGATTAGGAAAGATTACCAAGAATATTCTGAAGAGTCGTGTGGTATCCATTAATGCAGTAAGATCACAGTAAACAGGTGATTTTAAAATATGCAAAACAACCACTATGAAAGAGTAGTGAGATTCCAAGCGCTTTCAAAGTAATACATCAAAGGAAGGCAATTAAAGGGCTTAGACTACACCTCACAGTCAACCCCCACAACAAAGAAACACCTGACGCGCGGCAATACCGGACTCATGAGAAAAGAGGAACACTGCAGTAGGTCCGCTGGTCCAACTAGACAGTCCTCACGACATCCCACTAACAAAATATTCTACCCAAGAAATAAGGTTTATTATTTGTCCAATGTATTATTAAACTCTAACCAAATTTTATTAATTATAAATGAGTCTAATTTATATAAACCTAAGGAAATATTCATATTATTTTCAAAACTGTTTTTTATGAAACAAGATTCAATTGAATTTCTGTCGACCATGGACTTGCTTGATACAACTTTCTCAACTTTTTGAAAATCAATTGGATGGTTAAAATCTCTCGCATGAATAAACAGAGCATTGGAATCTTGTCCAGTTCTAATGCTATATTTATGTTGTTTTAATCTAAGTTCGAGATTTTTACCGGTTTGACCGTAATAAACTTTATCGCATATTTTACAAGGAATCTTATAGACACATCCGTCAGCATTTTGGGGGGAATTCTTTATCAAAAGTTTTTTTTACTGTATCAAGATTTTTAAATACAACGTTAATATTAAAAGTCTTAAGAAGAGAAGGCATATCAACCAAGTTTTCATGGTAAGGGAGAACCAACATATTTTTAGTTGAATAAGGTTGGTTGTCCCTTTTTGGGTTGTAAAAAGTATTTCTAGCAATTTTAAATGATTTATCAATTACATTTCTCGGGTATTTCCGATCAATGGCTGTTTCGTAAATTTTGGATATTTCTTCATCTATGAACTCTGTACTACAAATACGTAAAGCTCTCAAAAACATTGATGAGAAAACAGACAGTTTAACTCTATCTTGATGGGAAGAATAATAGTGTACATAGGAACAGTTATTTGTAGGTTTTCTGTAAATTTTAAATTTGAATTCATTATTACTCTTAATAATTAAAACATCTAGAAAAGGCAATGAGTTATTTTCCTCAAACTCAACAGTAAAGTTTATAGAATGAGCTAAGCTATTTAATTTGCCAAGGAAATGGTGTATATCTACATTCTTGGGCATAAGACATAAAATATCATCAACATATCTGAACCATTTTGCTCTATTAGGGAGGATTGTGTTAAGCAATCTTGTTTCAAAAAATTCCATGTATAGGTTACTAAGAACAGGTGAAAGAGGATTTACATTTTAATTTATAAATAAGAAATATTTACATTTTAATTTATAAATAAGAAATATTTACATTTTAATTTATAAATAAGTTTATTCAGGTATACACAAATACAGTTACATACATAAATTATCATACATAGCAACATGTGTGTAAAGTACCCAGGATAACCTAAAAAATTCAAGAGTGACATATTTCCATTGGTGTCCTTTTATATTTACACTTATATTTACTTTTATACTTACACTTTTATATTTACACTTACCTTGGAGGAGATGTTAGTTTAATTAGTTAGTTTGATGAAGGAGATGTTGGTAGAGGTTTAGGGTGGTGGAAGATAGCAGGGCGGTGTATATTCAGCGGTCCTATACACATCCAACATCATTGGAGAGCTACTCTCATGTTGTTTTTCTATCGCTTACTCGCTTAACTTACTTGCTACACTGTTAATTCTACACTTTATCGCTGGCTGGAGCTATAGCCTTTATCGATACCTGCTGCTTTAGTATCATACATATTGTAGAATCACTGAATCACTGCAGAAGGCACATTCTCCCCTCTCTCTTCCTCCTCTACTTTAGTACTTTGCTATGAGTTTTTTCTTGAATTCTATTGTGTTTCTCACCTTCTTTACCAATGGGCTGGCACTAGGAGCTTTCTTTGGGCCCATGGTGGCTTATTTAGCAGTTGCAAGCACAAAAAACAATGAATTACTATGAAATGTATTGTATGAACTCGTGGGGTGATGGTCACATGCTGGTAAACAATGGCACACTGAGTGTGAATAGTGCGGGAGACTGGCTTTGTGTGCATGCTGACGGGCAGACGTGTACCAGAAGGTTGTCGAATCACGAGTCCAATCACAAACCGCGAAGCTAAATTTTGCCAAAAAAACTTGCCGAAAGTAGGATTTTACGAAAGTCGCGGGCGCCGAATGGCTGGGGTCCACTGTATATATATGCTGGTGTCCATTTTTCTGTCTTATGAACATGTTTGGATGAATGAGCAGAAGCTTCCTCACTCACCCAGAGACAGCCAGACTGACGTGCGAACGGCTGGTGGGGAGGGTTGATGCATCCCATACGGCCTTTAAGTGAAATAACGGCCAATAACCAGAAGCTGGAAAACCGGCTGACAACCAGAAGCCGAAAAACTGGCTGATAACCAAGTTGGCCGACAAGCAGAATGGCAGATAACCAAGGATCCACTGTATAATAGAATTATTGAACCTCTGCAATAGATTCACTTTAATCCAGCAGATGGGTGTACCAAGCAGACTGATAAACCCACTAAACCTCATGTATATGAACGAGGAGGATGTGATCTAGAATGTAAGTGTTGAAGACTGCAATCTCAGACCACAACATAAGCTAAGACCTGCGTGAATAGTGGTCTGAGACAGAAAAACATCATTCATGTAGACTAATTCAACTAATTCAGTTTCAACAAGAAATTAAACTGGGACCAAATGTATCACAACCTTAATGAAATAAACTGGGAAGATGCTATGACCACAGACGAACTCACTGGCACTTAAAGCATGCTCCAGATGTACACCTCTACAGCAAAAGGAAAGATGCAAACTCGAGAGAGGTGTTCCTTCAACACTGATGAAGACTAATAATGAAGCTTTTCACAGGCAGAACTCTAAAGCATGAAAGGAAACTGGTGAGCATCATGCACAAACTGATTGCATCATATAGAGTCCAGGAGATCAGAAGAAATTCAAATACTGTACTTTTTTAGGCAAAATCCAGGGCGAAAACCACATCCAGTACAGCAGTACCTTGAATATTACAGTTAATGAGTGTCACAAAAAAATACCATGCTATGCAGTAGCATACTGATCAAGATATTATAATGTGTTTTAATGTAATGCATTCCAACAATACAATCAAATGTGTCAGATTGATAAAATAGTATTGAGCCATTTGCTGAATACAAATGAATACACATGAAACTCTTGCACATACTTGCAGATGTAGAAATTACAAAAGAAAATAAAAAATAATTGTACTAAAGACCTATTATTACAGTTGTAAATAAACAGTATACCCTACATATGGTAAGGAAAAAAGAATTTTTATTTTGAGAAATAGTTGAACAATGTAGTTTGCACAGTTTTTCTTCTAATCTGAGATGATCTTTCACATGCTGCACAGTGTTTTCACAAACAGTTTTCAGTGTGGGATTCAAAAGTGGCAAAATCATTAGAACAATGTGGTGATACATTACATAATGGTATCTTCTTACAAAAGAAACCCATTTCATTTTCACTACTTCGAGCTCAAATTCAAGCTACTTCTAGTCCTGAAACCTATCAAAATAATCTCTATTTCTATAATATATTTTCCATTCTGTCAAATAAAACAAAGAAACTGAGAATAAAACTATAAAAACCATTCAAAAATATGCCTCAAAGTTGCTATTTTAAGGCATTCATATGGTCAGTTTTATTTTTCCCATACACTGCATGGAGCAAGATTCTTTTATATGGCACACTATCACCACATAAAACCATTCTCTTATATCTAGGCCAAAATTTATCACTCATAGGTTATCTGAGTGAGCTGAGCTCATGTAATTCCATGGCACAGACCTTGAACTGAAAGCCATAGTACTATGGAATGAACTGCAGAAGGGTTAAGCAGTCACAGTTTTTTTAATTAATGAAGTTACTGCCTTGATAATCAGGATTCTAATTGAAATTTATGTGTGTATCCTACATATCTGTTTGCAGGAATATTTCATGGTATGTGTTGTAATGCTCCTGATTTCCTTCAGGGGAAGATGTAGAAACGGGTGATTCTGAGAGCAGCAATGGTATCCCAGGTGCTGAGACTTGCGCCATCTGCCTGGGGCGAATGCGGGGAGAAGTTGGGTCACCAGACTCCTGTGAACACATCTTTTGTCTTATCTGTATCTTAGAATGGGCCAAGGTCAGTATTAGGAGTAATGTTTGCACATACAAAAAAGTCATCAGTTGTTTGTTCTGACATGGACGTATTGTTGCTTGAAATCTTGTGCTGCTGATTAATAGTAGAGTGGGTAAAAATGTGGAGGAAGTAGCAAATTTGGGGTGCCAGGGGTAAATGAAAATGGGGAGCCTTTAATTGAGCTATTGTAGAAAGGGGTTTTTGGTAATAAGTAATACATTTTTTAAATGAAAAAGAGATAAATAAGTATACAAGGTATGATATAGCACGTAATGAAAGTAGTTTGTTAGATTATGTATTGGTGGATAAAAGGTGAGGGGTACGCTTCAGCATGTACATTTTTTATAGAGAGGCAACGATATACGGATCATTATTTAGTTGTACTAAAAGTTAGAGTAAGAGGTAGATGGGACAAAAGGAAATGGCAACAGCAAGTAAGAGGGGAGAGATGAAAGTGTATAAACTAAGGGAGAGGAAGTTGGGTGAGATATAAGCAGCTTTTGGCAGAAAGGAGGGGTAGTGCAAGTACAAGTAGTGGGGGGGGTTGAAGAGGGTTGGGACAAAAGGAAAATGGCAACATCAAGTAAGAGAGAGGTGAAAGTGAAATAAACTAAGGGAGGAGGAAGTTAGGGTAAGATATAAGCAGCTTTTGGCAGAAAGATGGGCTAGTGTAAGTGCAAGTAGGGGGGGGGGGGAGGGGTTGAAGAGGTTGGAATAGTTTTAGAAATGCAGTATTAGAATGGGGGGGAGAAGTTTGTGCTATAGGAGGGGGGTGCAGGAGGAAAAGAGGAGTGATTGGTGGAAGAAGAAGTAAAGGGTGTGATAAAAGAGAAAAAAGTAGCTTATGAGGGGTTTTTACAAAGCGAAATGTTAGAAGACGAAAAGAGTATAGGGAGAGTAAAAGAAAGGTGAAAAGAGTGCAAAAGGAGAGCAGATGATAGAGGGGGAAATGGGGCACGTCAAGAAATTTTGGCTGAAAATAAGAAGAAAATTTGGAGTGAGATAAACAAGTTAAGAAATCAAGGAAACGTAGGATTTGTCCAGTTAAAAACAGAGTGGGGGAGTTAGTAGATGGGAGCTGGAGGTATTGGGTAGATGGCAGAAATACTTTGAGGATGAAAAAGGGGAAAGGGGGTAATTTTATGCACTGCCCGGGGGGTTTAAGCCATCTTTAGGAGTGAAGAAAGACAGGATGTGACTGTGAAGAGGTGCATGAGGCATTACTAGAATAAAAGGGGGGTAAACCCAGCTGAAAAGACAGGATCATGACAAAATGTTAAAGCAGGGGGGGATATAGTGTTGGAGTGGTTGGAATTTTGTTTAATAAATGTATGTAGGGTTTGGGCACAGAGTATGTATAGTTCCCTTATATAAAGGGAAGGAGGACAAAAGATATTGTAAAAATTATAGGGAATAAGCTTACTGAGTATACCAGAAAACAGAAATGGTAGGGTTATTTTTAAGAGAATTTGAGGTAAGACAGAGAGTAGGATTGCAGATGAGAAAGGGAGGCTTTAAGAGGGGGAAGGGGATGTGTAGATCAAGTGTTTCATTGAAACATATATGTGAACAGTACTTAGATAAAGGCAGGGAAGTTTTTATTGTATTATGGATTTAGAAAAGGCATGTGATTCAGGGAAACCGGTTATTTCATATAGTCGGACTTGAGTCCTGAAATGGGAATACAATGCCTGCACTTTTAAAGGGGGGGTTTGGGTATTGGCAGTTTGGAGGGATAATGTTTGTATCTCTATACGTATATGCCCCAAACTGTTGTATTACTGAGCACCTCTGCAAAAGCATGATAATGTGTGATGTGGGTGAAAGTGTTGAATGATGATGAAAGTATTTTCTTTTTGGGGATTTTTTCTTTCTTTTTTTGGGTCACCCTGCCTCGGTGGGAGACGACCGACTTGTTGGGAAAAAAAAAAATGTGATAGAGTGGATCGGAGAGCAATGTGGCAGATGTTGCAAGTATATGGAATAGGTAGTAAGTTACTAAATGGTGTAAAGAGTTCTTATGAGGATAATGAGGCTCAGGATAGAGTGTGTAGGTGGGAGGGAGATTACTTTCTGGTAAAAGTAGGTCTTAGACAGGGATGTGTAATGTCACCATGGTTGTTTAATATATTAATAGATGGGGTTGTAAAAGAAGTAAATACTAGGGTGTTCGGTAGAGGGGTGGGATTAAATTTTGGGAATCGAGTACAAAATGGGAGTTGACACAGTTACTTTTTTTCTAATGATACGTGCTTATGGGGGAAATTTTAAAGAAAATTGCAAAGATTATGGATATTTGGGAGTGTGTGTAAAGGAGAAAGTTAAAGGGAAAATAGATAAGAGTAAGGTGATGAGGGTATCAAACGATTTAGATAAAGAAAAATTGGATATCACTTTGGGGAGAGGGAGTATGGGAAAAAGTGAATGTTTTCAGATATATTTTGGGGGTTGACGTGTCAGCGGATGGGTTTGTGAAGGATGAGGTTAACCATAGAACTGATGAAGGAAAAAAAATGAGTGGTGCGTTGAGGTATATGTGGAGAAAAAAAAAATTATCATGGAGGGAAAGAAGTGAATACAGTGGACCCCCGCCTTACGATATTAATCCGTCCTGAGAGCTCATCGTGACCAAATTATCGTAAGGCGAGTTAATTTTCCCCATAAAAATAATGGAAATCAAGTGAATCCGTGCAAGACCCCAAAAATCTGAAAAAAAAAATACCACTTGAAAATTAATTTTAATACACACAAACTTAAGAAGACATGCACAATTAATACTCAACAAGAATAGAATAAAATGACACTTACCTTTATTGAAGATCTGGTGATGATTTATGGGATGGGGGAAAAGAGGAGAGTGTGGAAGTTGTTATTGTTTAGAAGGGGAATCCCCTTCCATTAGGACTTGAGGTATCAAGTCCTTTTCCGGGGTTACTTCCCTTCTTCTTTTAACCCCTTGACTGTCGCAACCCCGATCCTGAGGTGTCTCCTGGTGTCCCAAAATTTAAAAAAATATATATAAATTATTTTTTTCTTTTTGAATGTTTAGAGAATATTTTCCCGATTGTAATGACACCAAAAAAGCGAAATTTGATGGGAAACTGACAGAATTATGCTCTCGCAAAGTAAGTGATCTCGGCGATATTTACAAATCGGCGATTTCGCCCACTTTGAGCCCTATTTTTGGCTAATTCCATTGTTCCAATCGACCAAACTCATAGCTATTTCTTTAGAAATAGTAAGGCGGGGGTCCACTGTATATGAAAGTATAGTGGTACTAACACTTATATGGGTGTGAAGCTTGGGTTGTAAATGCTGCAGTAAGGAGGCAGTTGGAAGCAGTGCAGATGTCCTGTTTAAGGGCAATGTGTGGTGTAAATATTATGCAGAGAATTCGGACTGTGGAAATTAGGAGGAGGTTTGGAGCTAATAAAAGTATTAGTAAGAGGGCTGAAGAGGATTGTTGAGGTGGTTTGGTCATTTAGAGAGAGTGGATCAAAGTAGAATGACTTGGATAGTGTATAAATCTGTAGGGGAAGGAAGGCGGGGTAGGGGTCGTCCTCAAAAAGGTTTGAGGGAGAGGGTAAAGGAGGTTTTGTGGGCGAGGCAGCTTAGACTTCCAGCAGGCATGCGTGAGCGTGTTAGATAGGAGTAAATGGAGACAAATGGTATTTGGGACCTGACAATCTGTTGGAGTGTGAGCAGGGTAATATTTAGTGAAGGGATTCAGGGAAACCGGTTATTTTTATATAGCCGGACTTGAGTCCTGGAAATGGGAAGTACAATGCCTGCACTCTAAAAGAGGGGTTTGGGATATTGACAGTTTGGAGGGATATGTTGTGTATCTTTATACGTATATGTTTCTAAACTGTTGTATTCTGAGCACCTGTGCAGAAACAGTGATTATGTGTGAGTGAGGTGAAAGTGTTGAATGATGATGAAAGTATTTTCTTTCTGGGGATTTTCTTTCTTTTTTTGGGTCACCCTGCCTCAGTGGGAGACAGCCAACTTGTTGAAAAAAAAAATGCACATGTATAAGTAATAATGTACTGTCTTTTCCTGGCATTATATGAAATCAGTAAAAATTTTTAAAACTTAAACTTCCAGTAGTTTGATATGTATTAACACAAAACTGTACCAAAATTTCTTATTGTCATGTACCAATCTCTACTTTTAATCTAGTTGCATGTTATATTCATCAGATTTACTTTTGTTTTATGTATACAGTAAGTCTTTGACTTACATCTACATTGGGGATGACCTGAATTGTGTATAATACAGAATCTCCTCACTTAATGACAGAGTTGCGTTCCTGAGACCACGTCAGTAAATGAATTCATCGGTAAGCAAGGAGCGTACTATAATGGTAGTGGGTTTGTGTCAACCATCTTTGATATTGTTTTTATGTCATTGTTGCACCATTTATAACATTTTTAGTATATTTTTAAATGTTTATACAGTAGTGTGCTATATATTGTAATAAAAAAATACAGGTAATCAGCTGTAATATACATTATTTGTACATACATACTGGTCAGAGAGCCCGTTGTGAGTCTGAGTCGTCAGCAAAGAGTACATCACTAAGTGAGGAGAGGCTGTATTCATAATACTGGAAGTCTTTGGCTGGAGCCTTCTGTTTTGTGTATAATAATGATATTATACACAGTAATAATATAATAATGATATACACAATACAGAAGATTCTCAATGTGTTTGTGAGTAGAGGAGTTACTGTATCTTAAATGTTTTTGTATTTTTTTTTTTTTCAACAAGTCGGCCATCTCCCACCGAGGCAGGGTGACCCAAAAAAGAAAGAAAATCCCCGAAAAGAAAATACTTTCATCATCATTCAACACTTTCACCACACTCACATATTATCACTGCTTTTGCAGAGGTGCTCAGAATACAACAGTTTAGAAGCATATACGTATAAAGATACACAACATATCCCTCCAAACTGCCAATATCCCAAACCCCTCCTTTAAAGTGCAGGCATTGTACTT